TATATATATATATATATATATATATATATGTTTAGTTTATTTCAAATGTTTATCATGCAGGGACAACAAAAATTCTTGCTTCTTCTGGGGGGACCATCCAATGACAGTCATATTTTGTGTGTGCACACTCCAAATTTGAGTTGAAGCTTAGCCATTTTCTCTCATATTTTGAAAATCATACTACAAATTAAGTATATCAATAAATTTTCAGAATGTTTCAGAAACCAAACGTAGAAGTTAAGAAAATATCTTGTGTTTGAAAGATAGGATGAAAGAGAGTAGGAAGCTTACCCGGGTACCAGTGGATAAAAGGACTGACCCCATTCACTCTTAATATTGTGGAGGTCAGTGTGGCATATACCACAGAATAACACTTTGATTGCCACATCTTTCTCTCCTGTTTCCCTGCACCATTAATAAACAGAACATCACTAGCATGAACTACTTGTTAAGTTGAGGAATTGAAGAGCTTGAAATGTATACCTTCTGGTGAAGTCGAAGGGGGAGAGAAACCCAGATTTGTCTCTAGCAGCCCATCCAAAAGCCTTCCTAGAATGCTCCAGTCCTGGTGTTGCAGCCATCTGAATGTGTATGTGTTGGACTCAAGAATTGTGAAGAATGTGAAGCAGCATGGGTGTAATTAAAGGCACCAACACCCACAGATATGTGGTTCATAGTGCTTCACGTAGGCAATTATGTAATTATGAGGCCCACGTGGGTGGGGACAGTACTGCTTTCTTTTCTTTTCACGCTTTTTCTTTTCTGCTTTTACTGTATTTACACACGTAGCAATGTATAAAAAAAAAGCACAAATAATCAAATTCATTATGAAATATGTGTACGGTTGAGATTGTGAAGATTATACACGTTCGTATTAATCCACCGTAGGAACAACAGAACAAATATGATTAATTTTAAAGTAAATGTCTCTAATGGATCATTGATAAAATATTTTAGTAGAAGCGAGATTGTTCTAAGGTGTCTTAGGAGAAACAACCTTCTTTAGTGGAAGCGAGATTGTTCTATTAAATTATTCTCCAATAAATATATTAAAGAATTGATTTTTGGTTCTAGAAGGTTTAATCAATAATATTATAAAGTATTTAAATAATGTTCACAAATATATTTATATTTGTTAGAACTATTATTACATTTTTATATAATATATTGTTATGTTTGATTATATTTTATAAATTTCTCAATATCATATATCAACCAACAATATTTAATTGATTTATATTATCTTTATTATATTAATTATGATATAATGATAAATTTCTATTATTATTGATATTTTAAATTTTATAATTAATTTGTTGAGTCTAAAAGTTTTATAAATTCATATCATATGGAATAATATATTTTTTCATATTTGTCTATATATTCATGTACTATGGATTTAAATTTATTTATTGACTTAATTTTCTTAAATCTTTACTTGTGTTTTAGTCTTGGAATATTTATTAGGAGTTATTAAGTTATTTAAATTTTGTTACCTGTTTAAATTTTGCTTTGAATTTTGATAAGAATATTTAACGTCTACTTTGATGAAATTTTTACAGACCCTTCAAAGTTTTTATATTTTATTATCATTTTTGTACAAAATGCTATATTATCTATAAAATTATACAATACATATATTTTCTTTATCTATAATTCCTTACCAACCAAGATAGAGGTATATATCTCTACCAATCAAGGTAGAAATATAAATTCATACCAATCGAGATAGAAGTACCTAAGATTCTTTATTAAAGGATTATATACTCGTTATTAATATTGGAATTTATATCATTCTTAAAGGTAAATTTAGGTACACTTTCATATTCTATTTTATCATGAGATATGAGTTCACTAAGGATAAAATATAAATTTTAGATTTATTTGATAATATTGTCCAAAAATCAATTCCTAAACATGTTTCATGATGAATATTTTATCAGAAGAATCTTTCCAATACCTTTTATCATTAACATGCTAAAACTAATTTCCTAAAATGATTAAATTTACTTATTTTATGCTTGACCATGAACCAATGATAGAATTGTATCCATCACTCTTCTTTATTCTTCCAAGATTTGAGAAATGTTATAATGATACTTTGTATCTTTTATACATCAATATTTTATTATGATATAATTTGTTTATTGAAAATTTATAAATAACAGTCATAACATTTTTTTTTCTTTTGCTTTGATATCTCATGTCTCAAGCTACAAGTTTCAATGGTGGTCACACTAAAAAGAATCGAGTCAAGAACACTTAGAGAAACGAGTCAAGAACANTATATATATATATATATATATATATATATGTTTAGTTTATTTCAAATGTTTATCATGCAGGGACAACAAAAATTCTTGCTTCTTCTGGGGGGACCATCCAATGACAGTCATATTTTGTGTGTGCACACTCCAAATTTGAGTTGAAGCTTAGCCATTTTCTCTCATATTTTGAAAATCATACTACAAATTAAGTATATCAATAAATTTTCAGAATGTTTCAGAAACCAAACGTAGAAGTTAAGAAAATATCTTGTGTTTGAAAGATAGGATGAAAGAGAGTAGGAAGCTTACCCGGGTACCAGTGGATAAAAGGACTGACCCCATTCACTCTTAATATTGTGGAGGTCAGTGTGGCATATACCACAGAATAACACTTTGATTGCCACATCTTTCTCTCCTGTTTCCCTGCACCATTAATAAACAGAACATCACTAGCATGAACTACTTGTTAAGTTGAGGAATTGAAGAGCTTGAAATGTATACCTTCTGGTGAAGTCGAAGGGGGAGAGAAACCCAGATTTGTCTCTAGCAGCCCATCCAAAAGCCTTCCTAGAATGCTCCAGTCCTGGTGTTGCAGCCATCTGAATGTGTATGTGTTGGACTCAAGAATTGTGAAGAATGTGAAGCAGCATGGGTGTAATTAAAGGCACCAACACCCACAGATATGTGGTTCATAGTGCTTCACGTAGGCAATTATGTAATTATGAGGCCCACGTGGGTGGGGACAGTACTGCTTTCTTTTCTTTTCACGCTTTTTCTTTTCTGCTTTTACTGTATTTACACACGTAGCAATGTATAAAAAAAAAGCACAAATAATCAAATTCATTATGAAATATGTGTACGGTTGAGATTGTGAAGATTATACACGTTCGTATTAATCCACCGTAGGAACAACAGAACAAATATGATTAATTTTAAAGTAAATGTCTCTAATGGATCATTGATAAAATATTTTAGTAGAAGCGAGATTGTTCTAAGGTGTCTTAGGAGAAACAACCTTCTTTAGTGGAAGCGAGATTGTTCTATTAAATTATTCTCCAATAAATATATTAAAGAATTGATTTTTGGTTCCAGAAGGTTTAATCAATAATATTATAAAGTATTTAAATAATGTTCACAAATATATTTATATTTGTTAGAACGATTATTACATTTTTATATAATATATTGTTATGTTTGATTATATTTTATAAATTTCTCAATATCATATATCAACCAACAATATTTAATTGATTTATATTATCTTTATTATATTAATTATGATATAATGATAAATTTCTATTATTATTGATATTTTAAATTTTATAATTAATTTGTTGAGTCTAAAAGTTTTATAAATTCATATCATATGGAATAATATATTTTTTCATATTTGTCTATATATTCATGTACTATGGATTTAAATTTATTTATTGACTTAATTTTCTTAAATCTTTACTTGTGTTTTAGTCTTGGAATATTTATTAGGAGTTATTAAGTTATTTAAATTTTGTTACCTGTTTAAATTTTGCTTTGAATTTTGATAAGAATATTTAACGTCTACTTTGATGAAATTTTTACAGACCCTTCAAAGTTTTTATATTTTATTATCATTTTTGTACAAAATGCTATATTATCTATAAAATTATACAATACATATATTTTCTTTATCTATAATTCCTTACCAACCAAGATAGAGGTATATATCTCTACCAATCAAGGTAGAAATATAAATTCATACCAATCGAGATAGAAGTACCTAAGATTCTTTATTAAAGGATTATATACTCGTTATTAATATTGGAATTTATATCATTCTTAAAGGTAAATTTAGGTACACTTTCATATTCTATTTTATCATGAGATATGAGTTCACTAAGGATAAAATATAAATTTTAGATTTATTTGATAATATTGTCCAAAAATCAATTCCTAAACATGTTTCATGATGAATATTTTATCAGAAGAATCTTTCCAATACCTTTTATCATTAACATGCTAAAACTAATTTCCTAAAATGATTAAATTTACTTATTTTATGCTTGACCATGAACCAATGATAGAATTGTATCCATCACTCTTCTTTATTCTTCCAAGATTTGAGAAATGTTATAATGATACTTTGTATCTTTTATACATCAATATTTTATTATGATATAATTTGTTTATTGAAAATTTATAAATAACAGTCATAACATTTTTTTTTCTTTTGCTTTGATATCTCATGTCTCAAGCTACAAGTTTCAATGGTGGTCACACTAAAAAGAATCGAGTCAAGAACACTTAGAGAAACGAGTCAAGAACACTCTAGTTCAAAAGTTGGAGGTAAAATACTTTTAAAACTACTTAGTAGAGAAGTTACATATAATTGTTACTTTTTTACTCTTCACTACATAAGGAATGGATATACCTAGATCATTCTCACTCACCAAAGGTGAAATAAAACTTTCAATAGTGCAATTGATTATTTTACTAAATGGATGAAGGCAAAACCTTTATCAACTATCAATGCACAACAGGTGTAAATGTTCTTTGGGGAGACTATTGTGTGCAAACATACTTTACCTCACTCTATTGTCATCCTTAATGGTTGACAATTCATTAACAAAGAGTTCAAGCAATTTATGGAGTTTAATAGACATTGACAGATCCACGGTCAAACTAAAGTATTGAACAAAGTTATATTGAACAAGTTGAAGAAAACACTTGGCCAAGTCAAACTTATATCATGGGGATATCGTTGCACTCCCTAATCATTGACAAAAGAAAAAAATTTATGACTCACATATGAAGCAGTTGCCATGATCTTTGTTGAGTGGTAACATTATTTTCTACCTACTTTTATGAATAAAATCAACTTATCCATAGCTTTTATCTTGTTTAATCATCAAGTTTATCTTATTTTTGCATTGTTTTGTATTTTAGTTGTTTTATGCTCGTTTACTTATAATATCTATTTTAAGCGTGCGAAATAAGTCAATAGGAAGTAATTATGATGGAGAAAAACAAGCTAAAACTCAAGAAAGCATGATTAGATAAGAAAGAATAATTTTTAGATAAATACCCACGTTAAGAGCATTAAAATCTCACACATCGATGCAAACATGAAGAAAGGTACCATGGGTCGCCCCCAAACAATAAAAAAAACACCTTTGGGTGCTACGCTGATTGGCTACGTGAGTTGGCTTCTCATTGAGGAAAATATGACTTGCTTGGCGAGTTATAAGTTAAAGAGCATCAGCTTTTAGATCTCGCTGAGCGAGAATGAAGCTATTAGGGAATTTGTCATATTTTATACGTGAAGGTGAGTATTTAATCATGTTTTCGCGAGGGTTTTGGAGATTCCTCATTTTCACACGAATAGAATCACCTAGGGTGCCTT